CTATCTTTCTCCGAACGACTGTGGGTGCACGTGACACCCCGTCATCGATTCGTCACATTTTTCAATGTCTGTCATCTATGGATTCATCGATGGAGACATGTGAATTACATTCAAATTACCGTCATCAGAGTCACCTAACCGTCCCGTAGGATTTCATTAAAAGTCATACTTGTTGTAAAATCATGGAAATGAATCCTCGATTGTAAAGGTACATGTGCATGTTCCAGAAAAGATATTGTAATGAGACTTTAAAAGATGATTTTTACCATGCACCTTGTAAGGATAAAAATGATCCTACTGGCCCTCCTATTCGAGAAAGTACTATGTTTCTTTACGGGAAGAAAAATATTTTGAATTAGATGTTTATTGAAACAATAAAAGATTTGTTTAATAACATTTTTAAATACTTTTTTAATTGGTGCACCTTCATTTTTTGAGATAACAAACGATTCACAATATTGCACGATTTTTTGCATAGGCACCAGGCCCTAGATATTTTGTTTTCTATTTTTCCCGATAATCTTCCTCATTGATGAAAACATAAAAAAATCTCGTGTTCGTGATACATCTGTCTAAAAATATGATTCGAGCACATAATATTTATCTACTCGATACATCGTGAAGATGTTGTAATAAAGTGTAAAAATAAAACAAATATGAAATTGAATCCAAAAAATAATTAATTGATACTACTTTTCTGAAAGATAATATGGTTTTTATTGTATTTGGATGACTTAGTGCATACTGTATGAAGATTATTCGTTACTTAATTATGAATATATTAGGAAAAATATTTTTTTCCCTTTATGTTTACTATGTTTAAGTCACAATGTATTTATACCCTTTATTAATATTAAAAAAAAATTTTTTTTGAACTTTAATCTGATTTTAAAATATAAAGTATTAAAGTCTATTTCTGTATGTTCAAAGAATCGTATTGTTGAAATACTTAGTGTATTTTATTAGCAGTTCATTCAAACATAAATAGAATATTTTTACCTAATGCGTTTGCCGATTATCTGATTCCAATCATATTCACATTTTATTTAAAACACAGTTGATAATTCGAAAAGAAGAAAAAAAATGAGATTTTGATTCATTCAAGTATTTGTAATTTTTTCCCTTTTAATATTTGATCAATGACACGAAAATCTGCTTTAAAAATTCGTCAATTTTTTTTTACATAATTGTACAGAGTTAATTAATAATCGCAAAATAGGTAATGTGAAAACATACACCTTGATTTGAAATAATTACAACAAACTTTCTTAAACTCAATTTAAATAAGAAAACATACGGACTAAAAAACTTTTTACTTATTCTTTATAGTAAGGGAGTATTCAATATAGATTTAGTAAAATTAATCATAACAAATATCTGAGATGTCCGTTTAATTAAATCGACAGAGGAGATCTTGTAGTATGATTGATTATATGTACAACACACACACATGCAAAGTGACAAGTATTGTTTCTCATAAAACGCATTTTCCAGTCTTCAACACCGCCATATATCTTCCAAGCACGTTTATAGCGAGACTTGATTTCAAAATGATTCATATAGAGTTACCTCTACGCGAGGGAGTAAAATGAACAATAAAACTTAACCAATCGCACGTGATCGCGTACATATTATGTATGCATGGACGTATGCATATATACACTACCCTGCATCTAATTTACAGAGCATGCAGTGCGCCGCATCCACCTACGTGGGTTCAATTATAATGCGCGCGAGGCTCTAATTACCGGGCGAGAGGCTGGGAGGAAGGGAAACCCTCTGCATTGATATACACCGCGTATACGCCTGCCATTTACAACGAGGGGGAACATATATATATATATTTGCCAAAGCGAGCGGGAGTTTCGGTGTGAGTATATGGGCTGTATATACAAATGCGAGCGTGACAGGACGGGGAACCGAGAGGATCAGAGGATTTAGCTCGTTACGTGTGCCATAGTCCTGCTACATGGATGATGTGTGTGTATACGTTCAGTGTACAGTATCGACGGGCAGGAATGGGGTGTTTGGGTGTGCCGTAGTATCTTTAATTGTGGGCACGTGACGTTGCTGATGCGAATTCGAGGGTGTGGCTCATAGATCGAGTTTTTTCTTTTGTTTTGCTGCTGTTGTAGGAGATGTTGTGTGGGTATCCACGATGTATATTGGTTAGTAGAGCGAAGCAATTTGCGACCTCGAATTTGTAAAAAGTCGATATTTAGATTACCAGGGAAGTAAAGAGTATCATCATCATATTATTTAATGATGGTATTTATTCCTGAAGGAGGGCCTAAATTTATTCATTTGATAACAATTGATGCTGTCAATGTACATTTTAAAATTAAAAACTGCACAAATGGAGTAAATGGGTTTTGGAAAATTGCTACTCATTAAAGATTGTTTGTTCTGGTACCTTACAATAAAAAGAAACATTGAAAAAATAAGTCCCATGGATTCCATTAATACGTTGTGAGCTATAAAATGATTTGATTGTGCTCAAACGAATATTCAGAGAAAGTCGTTTCGAAGGAAGTGGCATTTTTATTAATTAGAAGTATTGATGACAATTAACGTTAGGATTTCATTGCTCGTCCCAAAATCGGTATAACTTACGGAAACAATTTTTTTCAAACAAAAGTATTTAGTCCAAACTTTTGTTTTGCTCCAAACTAAGTTCTCTATTATTCTACGTGGCTAAACTATAAGCCTAGGTGTATCAAACAGAAAGTACTGGACATCCCGTTTATTGCACGGAAGACAAAAAAACCTTCATCTTTGCTGTTGAAACAAAAATAAAGTTTTATGATCAGTGACGAAAAGCTTAGAACCAAGACGTCATCGAAATAATCATCTCAACAACTCGACATCCATGTATAAAAATGTACTAGTAAAATAAAAGAAAATGTACGTGATTATCGCCTCTGACTATAATCACCACTCAATGATCCCCGTTTCAGTGACATCGATGGTGCAATGGTCACGTTAGTTTAATTAAAAACGGAAACAGCACCTCGGGCGTCCATTCCCTGAGAACAGAAAAAATAAGAAGCATTAAAGTCCCCCGGGCCGTTTGAGTGATAAGCAAACGACGAGGGAGCCCCTAAAAGCGTCATAAAATCGCCGAAAACAGCTGGCAGGAGTATAAGCTATGCATACATACCCACAATTCACATCTCACCTGGAGCGAACAGATGGACGAGAGGATGAAGAAAGGAAGCACCGCCACGGGCAAACGGTACGGGGATATAGCTCATTAGAAGGTGTTGGCGCGCAGTCGATGGTGATGAGGATTTTCCCGAGGACCGTAAGATCCGTGTTTGCCCGCATGCCTTTGCGTATATAGGTACACAGGAGGAGGCGAGTGTTTGGAAAACAAACCCGGTTGGAGATACGGGGGCACTTGAGAGGCGAAAGAATTTACTCCACTCAGGAAATCGGTGCTCGTAAAGTATGTACCTTCAGGGATCTCTAATTGCATAATGTACGTGTACACGCACGTATGATACGTGTAATTTCGTAGTAGAGTACACGACGATGAACTTTAAACGGTGCTTTACGTATACAGTAGTAGTGATCCACACTAGATGTATATTTTTAATTTTTGCTATTGTGTTTTTTTTTTTTTCATTCTTTTCCTTAGGTATAGCTGTATCGAAGGAGTGCATTATTATTTTGTGGTTAGAAAGTTATTTATTTATTTTTTTCTTCGGCAAGTACTGTTACACGCTTGATTTACTTGGAATTCAAAGAGTAATTTTTATCTGCTCGCTTCGATGTGCTTATTTATGAAGGCTTGTGTTTTTAAAAGCATAAGTACCATACATCGATTTTTACTCGTGGACCTTATAGCCTTTTAAAGTGCATTTATGAAATTTATTCGACGATAGGCGACGTAATAATTTTTAAAGATTTTAGAGGTAGTTTTTTTTCTGGTTTAATGGTTTACGAGCGTGAGAGTAGCGGGCGCGTATCGGCACTACTCGTGTCGATCGAAAGGATCTGAATGTTTAACTGTCGTTTGTTTTATAGTAATGCCGAGTTTTTTTTAAATAAAATTATTCGATAAATGCTTGGTAAGTTACCTGATCTATGGATTAAGATTCTGACAATTGGTAATTTAATCATTAATCATTTCGCACACCATCTCTCCAAATTTGATTAAACACAAACAGTTTGTTTTTATTATTCTTAGAGAAAAAAATTGTAAGAAATTAGATGTTTTAACAAACAAACCAATAGTCATGGAAGAAAAAATCGTTTACTAAAGTTTTAATTTGTAGGTTTATAAAATTACTACGCTCATGTATAATAGTTAAGGAATTAATAGTAATTATAAGTAATAAAGTGTAAAAATAAAACA